AAGTATCAGAAGAAAATGAGACAAACAGGCCCGCCATGCATAAAGAGCTAATAGAAATTAAATTCAAGCACAATTGTGGAGCCACATAGACGGGACCAAGTGTTAGACGACCAGATGGATCATTTTGTGGGGTAATAGAGCCATACTGAGTAATGGACAATGGTTGTCCAGCAGCTGTGTAGATAGGAGGAAGAGAGGATGAAGTAAAGACAGAGGATAAAAGTGAGGCATTACAAGTCATATGAAAGGAACAACCAGAGTCAAAAATCCAGAGATCATTCATACCAGAGACTGAAGGATTAGCTGAAGAACCAGCAAAATGCATACCAGAGAGTTGTGCGGCGGATGTAGAGGTGATATGTTGAAAAGCATCAAGTTGACGGCGAAGACTTTCAATAGCTTGAATAGTAGAGTCTGAAGTAGTAGAAGGTATAGCATTGGCCAACAATCCTGGTGTACGAGAGGGTTGAGACTGAGGGGGTCGCCGACCACGTCCAGTACCTGAGGAACGTAACTCAGGATGAAGCTTGAAGCATGTCTCAATGCGGTGTCCTTCCTTCTTACAATATTTGCAAGAGAGCTTAGATCGAGCCTGTGGAGAGGGAGCCTGTGGAGAAGTATAATTCATAACAGGAGCAGTGACAGGTACAGACAAAACAGTCTCGAGTGAAGAGGTAGGAGTGTCTGTTGACAAATTGAGTCGTGCTGTCTGCTGCCGGGTCTCATAAGCAGTGAGAGCTCCCATAACTGAGGCCAAAGTCGGAAATTGAGGCTGGTGAAGTAGTTGATCAGCCATAGTTGAATATTCAGGAAGGGACTGAAACAATTGATGCACCTCATGCCGTTCGTACCAGGCTAGCCAGTCTTCATATGTGGAATTACGTCCAGGAAGCATGGAGCGTAACTCTGTCCAAAAAGCTTGCATTTGTCCAAAATGGGACTGCAGAGATGAACTACCTTTGCGTTGTAGAGAAATGCGTTGCAGAAGATATGCCTCCCGTGCACCCGAGCACTCAGTGAAACGCTCAGTGAGACGAGTCCACATGGCCTGAGCAGAGGGAAGCGAGCCAATCTCGACAGTGAGACCAGAGCCAACACAGCGAGTGAGATAATCCATAACACGAAATTCCTGCAATTGCCACTCTGAACTCTCCTTGACATAGAGAGCACGAGCAGTCTGAAGATCGACATCACCACTGCCAGAGGCAATAGTACTGGATGAAGCAACAGTGCTGATGGACGGTGGAACTGGTCCCGTACTGGTGAGATGATCAAGCAAACCAGCGCCACGCAAGGCATTGGTGACAATGGTGGACCACCCTGCCCAGTCACTTTGATCATTGAGGGGCAAAGGTGGTTTGGGAATCTTCTCTGAAGGAGCCATAACAGCAATCTTGAGACGTTAAGATGTCGAGATGCTGTTACTAATGTCGTTCGTTTGAGGCCGAGAGACGGCTTGAAACGACGATGCCGTTAATTTGAGACCGAGAGACGGTCTTGAAACGACAATGCCGTTAAAATAGAACCCGAAGGTTAGAATGAAACCCGAAGGTTTAAAATAGAACCCGAAGGTTAGAATGAAACCCGAAGGTTTAAAATAGAACCCGAAGGTTAGAATGAAACCCGAAGGTTTAAAATAGAACCCGAAGGTTAAACGAGAACGCGAAACGCGTTAAGAGGCCGCAAAACGACAAGGCCAAAATATCTGGCAGATGAACGCCAAATAATTAAAAATAAAAATAAAAAAAAATAAAACATTAAACGGCTGCAAAGCAATAAGGCCAAGATTTGGCAAAAGAACGCAAAAGCGTTAAAAATTTTATTGAAAGGGAAATAGCCCTAGCTCTGATACCATGTTAAAGTAAGAGAGAGAGAGAGAATCTTGGGTAAATTTCCCTTGAATTGAATATTGAGTGTGCACATATATTTATACAAGTAGAGGAGTGTGAGGTTTGTTCTCCCAAGCAATGTGGGACTAAAACCCACTACAATACACTATTATCAACACTCACAAACCATATGCTTTCACCCTTCAATGTTCAAGTGTGTGGATATTAACATCGATGGAGTGCTTGAGTGCGAGAATTGCTTCCATGCACAGGCATCAACAAAAGGACTCAGATGTGAACGCAGGAGGAGTCAAGTCAGTTGAATAATGTTGATGTAGCTCTAGATGTGGTTCTAACCTACATGAACCAAGTTTGATCCTATAAGTTCAAGGTTGGTGGAACATCAACAGCTTTGAATCATGCAAAATAAGAGTCGTTTCAAAGCTCTCACAAAATCATCACACAGGATGCTAAAGTAAACATATGTGACCTCTGCCGGACTCGCAAAATTCCATCATTTTGGGCCATAAAACCGTATTCAAAATTTTCTCTCTATTTTAGGCAGCGTTTGATCTTGCAATTTGGAGGGATGATCATATTCTGTTTGTGCTGAATATTGATACAAAACATCCTCTTTCCTAGCGAAAGGATGTTTTCTAGCTTCGACATGCTTCTATTTTTCGTTACAAAGATATTATTTTACCTTTTTCCTTTTGTTTTTGAGTCTATAAAAAACTCTTTTCTTGATCTATAAAGGTAACTTTCAAAAGAATAAAACCGTAGTGTATTGGTAGCAGCCGGTTTATCTGTGTTTTCTCCATCTTTATGCATCTTGCAATTTTGATCTAGTTGCAGCCCTATTAGGACTACATCAATTGATATCAAAGCATAAGATTCTATCTAGCACTTATTCTAAGAATTCGAATGGTCAAGTATGGGATAGGACTTGGAGGTCGTGGTGAATGCCAAAAGGGAGCAGCCTTAGAGAATGGAGGTGACTACCAAGAAGGATACATACGAACTATTTTGCTAGATGACCTGTGCAGGCAGAACCAAGAGTTACAAAGGTAGATTGACGAGTTGAAGAACCAAACAACACGTTCACATAGGCGGCGGCTACCAACTTAAATCATGATGACAATTCAAAAGGTCGTGGCTTTTAGAGGGGTTATGATTGATCTTGTGCTTACATCAGGGTGGATCCTCTTGATTTTCAAGGAGGTTCCTAGGCCATGGTGTTTTGGAAACGTTTTCAGAAGAGAAAAACACCACACAAAAATCACCACGGTATCCAAACATAAAAATTGCAATTATGTTTTGGCGATTTGTATTTCAATTACATAAACTGTTGAGATTCACGGATTATCATTTTTCACTTCTAAATTGACTAGGTGTAGATATTCTTAATGTGATCACGTGGGGGTGTAGGGGCCACTCACGCTCTATTGCCCACAATTCCGTGTGAAGAAAAGAAGCCGGACGACGCGGTTTTTTATATTTTCCGCGTGAAGAGAAGCAAGGCCCACGAACCGTAATCGCTGCTATAAATAACAACTTGATTTCTTCTCCTAGGTTTTTTGTGCAAGGAGCTTTGGCGGCTGTGAGTTTTTTCTTGTGCGAAGGAGGTGTGCAGGGAATATCTTTGGCGGCTGCAGGAGAAAAACGTGTGTTCGCGGGAAAAATTGTAGTTTTCATTGAAGTCATTGTTCTCTTAAGTAACTGTTTTTCGATTACAAAAGATCCGGTCTTTTTATAAGATCCGGTTACAACAAAATCAAAGAAAAATAAAAAAGATTACAACCACTGCTAGAAAATGAACTATTGCCGACGGAACTTTAGCGACGGAAAATTCCGTCGCTATAAGTCACCACTGCTAGAAAATGAACTATTGCCGACGGAACTTTAGCGACGGAAAATTCCGTCGCTATAAGTCACATTATAGCGACGGAATTTACCGTCGTTAATTTTCCGTCGGCAAAAAAGTTATGCCGACGGAAATTTCAATATTAACGACGGAAAATTTCCGTCGCCATTAATTTCCCGACAGAAATTTTCTGTCGGAAAATTTCCGTCGCTAAAAGGGATTTTAGCGACGGAAAATTCCGTAGCTAAAACCCAAAAGTGGGAAATTTTTTTGGGCGCGGGCGTTTTTCTCTCCGTTCCCCCAAAAAATTCATCCCACCGCCAAAAATTCATCCCCGAAAATTTCGTCCCACCGCCAAAAAATTCATCCCAAAAATTTCATCACCCTCTCAAATCCCTAATCCCCTCCACCCCGCACCCTCTTCGTTGTCATCTCCTTCGACCGAGTACCGCGAGAGAAGCAGCAGCAGGAGGAATGGCGGGATCTCCGCCATCATCGTCCTCCTCCTCCTCTTCCTCGTCGGCGAACCCATCGTCATCTTCAGGTCTTCCCCCGCCTCCTCCGTCTCCCCCCAAGCCCTAACCGTAGCTCGCCTCCGCGACCCCGCCTCCTTCCTCCGCCGCTTTCCCGCCATCTTCAACCCTCGATCCTCTGGTCGCCCCTGCTCCCTCTCCGCCGCCGCCCTCCGCTTACGCGAGGAGGAGGTACGAACCCTAACCCTAGCTGAGCCCGGCCTCGTCGACCGCCTGCGCAAACTCCTCATGCTCACCGCCGACCGGTCCCTGCCTCTACACACCATCGATCTCCTCCGGTATGATCTCGGGCTCGCTATTAGCTACCAGCAAACCCTAATCCCTCGCTACCCCCAATTCTTCTCCGTCCACCGCCCCCCTAACGACGAGAGGCTCTGGCTCCGCCTATTATCGTGGGACCCGCACGGGTTAATGTTCCTCGGATGAGTCTGAGGGTGAGGAGGGAGGGTTTGGAGAACGAGGAAGATGGTGATGAGTCTGAGGGTGACCTTGGGGGGTATAGTTCCTCGGATGAGGAGTGATCTAATGCTTGTTGTTGGAGTTCCTGTGGGAAACAGGGTTAATGTTGAATGGGGAGAGGAAGAAAAGCTGGTATGTTGAATTTTACATATTTTAGAGTTGAATTTTACATAGTATGTTCCGGACAGAAAAATTCGCTGCATAGTTGTTGGTAAATGATTGGCAAAATTTGATAGTTAATTCTCAGTAAGTAGCCAGATCACCAGTATCGTGATTGTAGTAAAGTAAACTATTGTCTCAAAAACTTAGGCAAGAAGAAGCTTCTTGAACTCAAACTAAAGAAATCTTCATGGACCGCTTTTGGACATTTCTCACTTATATCCATTCTTTCTCCGGGTAAATACATATTTTTGTTTCATTAGTTTCTACTTAAGTTTGTTAATTATTTATTGTTGCTATTGTAGCACTAATATCAATTATGCAATATTTGATTATAGGCCTGCAATCATGTTGCTCTATCCCTTGTAAGTATATATTGTTCACTGTTTTTTTTTTCTTTTTTTTTTCTTTTGGGTGGGGTTGGAATTTGGTTGAGGGGTTTGAATTATTATGTAGGTATGCATCAGTTCAAGCGATTGAGACTGAAGACAAGCTTGATGATGAACAGTGGTTAGCATATTGGATTTTGTACTCTTTCCTGACGCTCATGGATATGGTTTTGGAGCCAATCTTGAGATGGTAATTAAACTCTTGGTTAATTGATAAACTCTATAAATTATTTGGACAATTAATTTGGATTGGTTTTTTTGTGAAGGGTACCAATTTGGTATGAGATGAAGGTATTGTTAGTGGCTTGGTTGGTATTACCACAATTTAGGGGAGCAGCTTTCATATATGACAAGTTTGTGAGGAAACAATTAAGAAAATATGGGGTTTTAAGCGAATCTTCTTCTAGTTCATCATCATCATCACCACCATCCAAGAGCAAGAGCAAGAGCAAGAACAAATATTTAGGCCTTGTTACTTCAAAAAAGGTGAGCTCCGCTGACTATTTCTTTCAAGTAAACAAGTGGAAATAAATATAACTTCATGTTATTTGTTATGAACGAAGAAAGCAACCATTTCATTGTTGAAGTTAAGAGTAGATCTACTCTATTTTAAGGGTTTCTATGGAAAAGACATGGGAGTTTTGTATTTCTCTAACCCATGTTTGTTTAAGAGACAGTAGCGGCGAGGGAAACAGAAGATGATTCATATTTGCTTTTCATAAGAACCTATCATAGATATGACATATTTTTATCAGTTCCATGATTCCATCCTTACATCATTTTGCTGAAGTTTAAATCCGAATACAGTTAAGTGTGCTATTGTATATCCATTACTTATGATGTTTGTTTCAGCTGCTGTCCACCTTGAGAATATTATAAGATGGTGTATTGTATGAGTAGCTCCCTACTACATTCTAAGAGTCCGTGAAATATATTCAGAAGAAATAGACATATACATCTGTGTAGTCGTGTTTGGATGATTTCAAGCAATTCTTGTGTTCGATTGGTGGGCATCCCTCTGAGAGTATATAACACCCCATGTTCATGTGATATTATGCATTGAATGAACGTGTCAATGTATGAAACCCTTCCCATCTTGGACGTCAACCATCCTTTGTGGAATAGATGGATAGAGCCATAAGCCACCTATTTGTGTGTTTAGGCTTGGGATGGTTTGACTCGTAGAGTTTGTGCGAGCTTTTGGCTTACTTTCAATCGTATTTGCCTAATTTTACACGGGAATGCTAGTGTAGTCTGGTTGGCTATGTTTTGTGGGTGTCGCTCAGACATAAACATCTTTTCTGTCTGTCTCACTGTGTTGGGTTTTATAGTGCTTATCAAATATGCAAAATTAATGGCTCCATTATAAGATCTGATATAACATGATCTTTGCCTCTCTATCCTTGGAACATAAAGATGACCAGGCTCATAGTCAGGACAAGTATTATAACCATAAGATCACAGCACTCAAACCATAGACGCAAACTGTGGTCTTCTTTTTCCACTCAAAAAGAGCACATTTTGCATCTAGCATAAGTAAATTGTATTTGGTAGCCAACAAAAGTTTTCTGGAAAATGTTTCTTCTTATAATTTCTTTACACCCTTATGTTACAGAAGGTTCTTGGCTTCATGATATCTGATCAGAGCAATTTTCTCTTTTCTTGTAATGCAAGGAACCGTTGTAGATTGGTGTTTTCCTACTATCTGTCTGCAACGTGCTGCTGGTTGCATCAGAGGGAATTTATGATTTTGGCATGTGGAAGTTGATGCTGACAGTACGCCCTAGAGCTAAAAAAAACCCCTGATCTTTATATTTCAGTCACATCTTTCTGCTTAAATTGCAATCCCATCTATCTATGCATGCATGTGCTTCATGCCCAAACAGTTGGATATCCATATGCTTAATTTGATAACCTTCAAGGTTCTGACGCATCATTATTTGCTAACTAACTACTATCTTGTATAAGTTTAGTTCTACAAGGTACAATTTATTTGTTTGGAATGATAAGGACTAAATACTGTATTAATGATATCATTCAACATCGTAATAATTGATGGATGCCGCTCTTTTGTGAATAAAGCAATTAGGATCAATGATTCATATTGCCACAAATTGTCCTAAGTTTGGCCATGTGGTGAGAATTGAAAGATAGTCCATGTTGTGGTGTTGTGTTGTGTTGTGGTGGGCGTTGTTTGATTGGTTGGTGTTAGGTTTGGTCATGGTGGGGGAGGGGGAGGTGTAGGGATTGGGTGGTGGTGGTGGTGATGTAGGGGGAGGGGGTGGTTGGTGTGGAGTGTGGTGGGTGGGTGGGTGGTGGCTTTGGTCGTGGTTGTATACTTGCATGTCATGCCATGTTGTTAACGTTTGATTTATATTTACAGGCTTGGACTTCTAGACAAGGTGGAGTTGGTGATGAGGATGATGATGATCAGGAGGACTGATTTTTTTTTTACCTTTGAAAACAATGAGTGTGTGATGTATAAACAATATTTATCATGGTGTGTGTTGTATAAATAATTTTAATTATGTTGGGATATTTTTATTAAAATATATGTGTTATATATGTGTGGGAATGAATATTATATTGTTGATTGAATAGGGTTTTAAATTCATTATATTATTGTACAGGTTTTTTAATTTTCAAAATAATTTTTAAAAAAATATTAGAAATATTTAGCCACGGATTAGCCGTCGCTATAGACCCTTTTAGTGACAGAAAACATACACGGATTTTAATGTCACTTTTAGCGACGGAAAGTTTTTTTCCTTTTTTTTAAAAAAAATAGAACGACGGATTTTCTGTTGCTAATAAACCGTCGCTAAAATTTAGCGACGGAATGTCCGTCGCTAAAAGTGTTTTTAGGCACCCCTGTTATAGCGTCAAAATTTTAGCGACGGAACTTTATTTTTTCCGTCGCTAAAAGTTTTAGCGACGGAATAACGACTTATAGCGACGGATTTGTCCGTCGCTAAAAGTTGAAAATCCAGCAGTGAACTTTCCTTTTTCGAACGAATCACGAGCTCCTGTTTTACGGTCGCTCGCTTTTATGGGTTCTTCGCCTGCGCCGGGGTTAATCCGTGGACTAACGCTCGTGTTTGGATATGTCGCCCGATGGTTCGTTGGTTTGTTGAATCATCGTGCCGAGCTGTGTTAAGGGACCTATAAGCAGTTTTATACACCTACAGATACCCCATCCAAAGTATTTCAGCCTCGTTCTTTTATAGAAGAGTCTGGAATACTTTGGATATGATTGTCCCAACCTTCAGTCGGTATAGCGGGATTTTGGAATGGCTTCTGTTCTTGATTCCTTCAATCCTTCAGGCTATTCGGTGCTTTGTCGAATGTCTGTAAGGTTTTCGGTGCTGCATTTATTGTCTGACCGTTGTCGGAATTTAAAACTTGAAGTCGATTCCTGATTTTCTGATCTTTAGCCCGTGCTTGTTGGTTCAACATAGAACTGATTGTCGATCGTTGACGCGTTGTCCGGCGTAATGTTGTTGAGTTATCCTTAAGAATATTTTTAGAAAAATATTCTCCAGAAATTTCTCAACCAAAAATAGGGAATAGTTTATACTCGTATACCTTATTGGAGTATTAAGAAGCAGTTTATACTCGTATACTTTTCGGAGTATTGATTCTTTCATTGCAACTCATTGATAGGCATTGACCTAGGGTTACGCGTTGACCGGCGTTGACCCTAGGGTTTTGAACGTCGTACGTTGACTGTTTGATAGGGTTACGCGTTGACCGGCGTTGACCCTAGGGTTTTGAACGTCGTACGTTGACTGTTTGATCGCAACGTGTTGACTGATGTTGACCTAGGGTTACGCGTTGACCGACGTTGACCCTAGGGTTTCGAACGTCGTACGTTGACTGTTTGATCGTAACGCGTTGACTGGCATTGACCTAGGGTTATGTGTTGACCGGCGTTGACCCTAGGGTTTTGCATCGATATGCGTTGACTTTCATTGTCACGCGTTAACCTTGGGTCTACACAGTTTAAGCTCTTAAGGTGTTGGAGCGTGGCGGTCCCAAATGCTGGGGCTACAGGACCAACTATAAAAGCTGATTTATGTGCGGATACAGATCTCATCCCGAAGTCGTTGGATGCTCAAATCACGAGACCAATTAATGAAGCTGATGCGTCAGTGACCCTCGTATTTATAGGATTTTTGGCAAACCCTCAGCCATCAACGGGTTTGATGAGCCTTTACCGACTACCGTTTGAGTCGGGCTAGCGTGCGGATTATCTAAATCCGTTCCGCATGTGACGTTGTGCTAAGAGAGTTAACGCTCTTAGTGCTACGATATTGAATATGTAGACTTCGTCTTTCTCACGGGAATAGACTACCCGGCGACGCGTGTTAGGCGTTGACTTTAGGATTTTTGGCTAACCCTCAGCCTTCAACGGATTTGATTAGCCTTTACCGACTACCGTTTGAGTCGGGCTAGCATGCGGATTATCTAAATCCGTTCCGCATGTAACGTTGTGCTAAGAGAGTGAATTCTCTGAGACTCGTTGCTACGACTTCGAATACGTAGACTTTGCCATTGTTATGGGAATAGGCTACCCAGCAACGTGTATTAGATGCTGAATTATCCCTACTTAGGCTTCGGGATAGAATACCTCAGAATCGAACTCTGGTGTCTTTTTCTACGGAGAAAGACTAAACCGGCGACGCGTGTTAGGCGTCGGCATATCCTTTCTTAGGATTCAGGATGACATTCCCCATGCGTGTAAGGCATGGATTTTGATGTTATTAATAACAACCTGCCACAATATTGAATATGTGGGCGGGTGTTCTTTTTAACGGTTAAAAACTAACCGGCAGCGCGGGTTAGGCGCAGACTTATCCCTGTTTAGGTTTCAGGATAGGATACCCCAGAAAAAGACTAAACCGGCAGCGCGTGTTAGGCGCAGGCTTATCCCTGCTTAGGATTCGGGATAAACTTCCTAGACTGGAATTCTGGTGTCTTCTTTAATCGGTGAAAGACTAAACCGGCAACGCGTTTTAGGCGTTGACTTATCCCTACTTAGGATTCGGGATAAATTCCCCGTACCTGTGAGGCACAAATTTTGGGAGTTAAAAAAGGTGGTGTCTTCTCTTGGGGCAAAGGCGAACCCGAAATGGGAGAAGAAGAATTTTATATTCTATCTCCCGACACTGAAGAAGAAGAATTTTATATTCTATCTTCAGCTGGAAAGGAGACTCGAGGTGGGATCTCCACCCCCAGAATCCGGAAAGGTAAAACTAAGAGTGGGATCTCCACTCCGAGAATCGAAAAGATTCAGATAACCCAACTGTCAGAAGGTTTGATTACCGAACTAAAGGTGAATTTCTCGTTTATCGAGATTTATCGAGAATGAATTGTGGTTTTGGTCCTAACTGTAGGAAGGTTTGACCAAGTAGGAGTTTGAGATGACCCTAACTGTAGGAAGGTTTGATCACTCGATTTGAAAGTGGACCTCTCATTCATTGGAGGAATCGAGAGGGGATTTTGATTGTGGCCCCAACTGTAGGTTTGACTTGAAAGCAAAGGGAGTGAAATACAAGTAGCAGTAGAAATACTGGTTTGTATTGGCCACTCAATAAAGGGTTTTGACGTTAAGTAATCAGGACTTAACACGTCAAGCTTTGGAAATTACCATGAATTGGTGGACAGAAAATTTAGTGGACCCACCGTCAATTGACTTGATCAGTGGGGGATTTTTGTGAGGAAAGATTAATCTGTCAAAAGGACCGAATCTCGTCTCAACAAGATAACTCATGAGAATTAGTGAATTTGATAGCAATTATGGAAAACATTCCGACATTTAGAGTTTAAATGTGGATGTTTTACTTATCACTTTTATAGTGATTGGGTTATCCCTAAGAATATCACCCGTGGTATTCTTTCGGGAACTTCCCGATATATGAATAATCCACCCCCAGCTTCCCTTGTGGAACTGGGTCCGACATTGTACTCAGTTACATGACCGGGTTATCCTTAAAAATATTACATATAAAAATTCTCCAGGAACTTCCCGTGAAAAAAATAAAATAGTTTAGACTCATATACATGTTGGAGTATCAGGGAGCAGTTTAACCTCTTATACCGGTCGGAGGATTAAGAAGCAGTTTATACTCTTATACTTGTCGGAGTCTAGAAAGGAGCAGTTTATACTCTTATACTTATCGGAGTGTAGAAAGGAGCAGTTTAACCTCATGCACCTGTTGGAGGATTGAGAAACAGTTTATATTCGTATACTCTTTGGAGTCTGCAGGGCGCAGTTTAACCTCATGCACCTATTGGAGGAGCGCCATTCTAACCTGGCCTATCCCAGCGATATGACGCCGGCTTCAACCAAGGTTTGGATGCTATTCTTGAGAGCAAAGCAATCCTTGGTGGGATGAACGACCCTCCTGTGGTATGCACAGTACTTTGGGTCCGTAGTGTTGTCAGCTTCCTCCTGATTTGTGATAGGTGGTACCTTGATCTTGTTGCTTCTAAGGAGGGATTCGAAGATGGCTGGAACGTCTTCGTCCTTGAAGGAATACTCTTTTTTGAGTCTCGGGTCCGAAGTCTTTTGCTGCCTTCGGGATTGCTGTTGTGACGTTCGATTAGCACCAACAACAGCTGCAGGTGCCTTGCTCTTACCACGAGAGGCAAAGTTCGAGTTCCGAGGATTAGCCGTCGGTAGGTTCCTCTCGGCCTTCTTCCTTCGGAGGAAGCGTTCGGCTTGTTCACCGCGCACCTTCAAGTCTTTCCAAGTGTTAGACGGTGCTGTTCCCATTGCCTCTAATACGTCCAATGCGAGGTTGTTGTGGCAAGTCTGGAGAATGAACTCCTCAGTGATCGGGTCCCGACAGTTCATTGCCTTTTTCCGGAACCTTTTGACGAAGGTGTCGACCAATTCCCCGTCTTTTTGTTTCTCATCGAGCAACGTTCCGATGGATATCTTGGTGTCATCGTCGAAGAAATTAGCGAGGAACTTAGTTTCCATGTCATCCCAGCTATTCACGCTTCCTGGCTTGAGGCGGCGATACCAATCGAAGGCGGCTCCACGAAGAGTGCCAACGAAGGACTGTACCATCAGAGGCTCATTACCGGAGATGACTCCTAGGTGCGATTTGAAGTAAATCAAATGCTGAGTGGGTGAACCCTTCCCATCAAATGGCGTGAAGTTGATTAGACTGAACTTTGCCGGATAAGGGATTGATTCCCATTCTCTTGGGTAGGGACAAGGAATGCCCGTCTTCTTCATCTCTTGAGCGGAAATCAACGTATTGATTTTGCTCTCGAGGTTTTTAATCTTCAAGCTTTCACCTGAGTCTTCGTTAGCATTCTCGTTACCACCCCCTGCATTGACGGGAGGATTATTGGCGTTATGGGTTTCATTCACACCTGTGTCCTCATCTTCCAGATTAACCTGGTTACGACGACTTGGCTCGCCTTGCTGGTTCGTCAATGCTTGGATTTGTTGGT